GGCAATCCTGTGGGACCCCGGTCCGTGGAGAGCAGGTCACTCCGCTGCCCATGTGAAAGCGAGGCTGACACCTCATACAAGAAGGTGCCTGGGGCTGCTCAGAGCGTCACTCCAGGATCTGGGCTTGCATGACCCACTGGGAACACTGGGCCAGGAAGCAGAATTATGCCCAGTTCTCTCTCCAGTGGCAATGAGGACGTAGATGGAAGGTCTGCATTTAGCACAGGTTCATACACAATGTGAATGGAAACCACAGGATCACCGTCCATGTTCATGGAGGCATGTTTACCATCAGCCCCACCTGATGGAGCACTCACCAGGGTAATGCAAAAGATAGAGACCTGAAGGCAGGGTAGTGACTGATGTTAACGTAAAATTACTTAGGTGCTGGATGCTTGCAGTCCTGCCCTTTCCCTGTTATCTCTCCTAACATGTGGGTCTTCACCCCCATCACAGTGGGGGGACTGAGGCAGCCAGGGATTTACCCGGGTCACACAGTCAGTAACTCTTAGCTTCCGTTGGTTGAGCATCGTTCCATGCACAGAAAGGTTGCCCGTTCGATGACTGGTGAGGGCACAAACCTGGTTTCCTGGCTGAATGCCCAGGGCGGGGTGTGGGAGGCAAGCAGGAGTTTGCTGCCAGTGCCATCTGACTTCCGAAACTCTATTGTCGGAAGTACATTGTTTTGAATCTTCCCAGTGATGGTTTGGGCAGCTCTGGGACAAAGTCCACCTGGATGAGGAGAAGGTGACCCATCCTGACTGACTGCCACTGGCATTTCCTACCCATCCCCACTCCTCTCCTTGCCCCTGGTCAGTCCCTGATAAGATATTGTCACTTTGTGGTGGCCTTAATGGGGCCCCTCAAGGATGCCCGGTTCTCCTGTGGACCCCATGAAGTTGGCTGCAGCGCTTTGATGTGATTTGACCGTTGAAATGTGCTGGGAGTGAATCCTGTCACCTCTGACAGAAGAGTCTGGAAGCACTGAGACCAGCCACCCTCTCTGTCCTTCTCTGATAACACCTAGGAGGTACCTACATGGTGGCCTCTCTTCTATCCCGGTCCCAGGAGAACCAGGGTGTTCATGTGCTATGAAGAAGAAATATCCTTTCTTTACTCTAAGCCAGCGGTTCTCAACCTTCTGGCCCTTTAAATACACTTCCTCATGTTGGGACCCAACCATAAAATTATTTTCGTTGCGACTTCATCACTGTCATGTTGCTACTGTTATGAATCGTCATGTAAATATCTGATCTGCAGGAGGGTCTTAGGCGACCCCTGTGAAAGGGTTGTTCAACTGCCAAAGAGGTCGTGACTCACAGGTTGAGAACCGCTGCTCTAAGCCATTAAAGCTTTGGGGCTGCTCATTACCCACAATAACATCCAGCCTGTGAACACAGCCCCTATTCTATCCTCTAGGACAGCGGTTGCCAACCTTTCAGACCTCACGGACCAACTGGTCCTCAGACCACCGGTTGGCGACCTCTGCTCTAGGAGGCAGCAGAGCCCAACAGTAGAAGCCAGAGCTCTGTTGTTAGACACATGGGTTTGACTTCCAGCCCTGCCTTTATTAACTCTACAATCATGCAATTTATGTTGAGTCTCTGAGCCTGAATTTTCTCTCCATAAAATGGATGGTGAAACCATCTCAGATCGAGGAGAGGATCAAATGAAATAATAATGCCGATAAAGCCCTGAGACCAGGGCCTGGTACCTGTAGTGAACATTCAGCAACTGTTAGCTCCTTAGCTTCACAATGTGTGCTGACTGAAGACATTCAGACAACATAGGAAATGTCAACATTTTGTCCTTTGTATACTTTCAAATTTTGTTTTAAGACCAATAGGGCCCTAGCTGGTCTGGCTCAGTAGATTGTTGGCCTGTGGACTGGAAGGTCCCAGGTTCAGTTCCAGTCAAGGATATATGCCTGGGTTGCACGCTTTAACCCCAGTAGGCAGAAGGCAACTGATCAATAATTCTCATCATTGATGTTTATATCTCTCCCTTCCTCTCTGAAATCAATAAAAGTTAATAAATTAATTAAAAAAATAAAACCAATAGGATAGGATTGTGTATATTCTCTCATAGCCTGCTTTTTCTCTTAATAATGTGATATTTGTATGTTAAAAATAAAACCTCTGAGAGCTGGAGGGACTCGGTTGAGCATGGGAAGGTTGCCAGTTCATTATTGGTGAGGGCCCAAGCCTGGTTTCCTGGCTGAATGTCCAGGGGGTGGTGGGAGGCAAGCAGGAGGCAGTCGATCCGTGTTTTTCTCTCTCTCCCTGTCATTTCCTCTCTCTCTGAAAGTCACATTAAAAGAAGTTTAGGCCGAAATGGTTTGGCTCAGTGGGATAGAGCGTCGGCCTGCGGACTGAAAGGTCCCAGGTTCGATTCCGGTCAAGGGCATGTGCCTCGGTTGCGGGCACATCCCCAGTAGGAGGAGATGTGCAGGAGGCGGCTGATCGATGTTTCTCTCCCATTGATGTTTCTAACTATCTCTCACTCCCTTCCTCTCTGTAAAAAATCAATAAAATATATTTTTAAAAAAATAAAAGAAGTTTAGGATTGTAGTCGTCAGGAATAAGTTAAATAATACTTTTCATCTCAAGGAGCACTCTGAGCTTCACGGAATCTGAAATGTGTGCAAAGAACAGCTCCGTTGCAGACAACACTCCCCAGAAACCAGCCTCCAAAACCTAAAGTTGTCATTTCCCAGTGCCACTTGGGTTCACAACCACCAATATTTACAAAGGGCAGGGAGCGACTGGGATCCTTACCCAAAGGGCTGTGCGCCTAACGATGGCTGGGTTATACACAGGCGCATAGTCCAAGTGTACATGGGTTAGGGTGGGACTCTCATGGTCTTGACCTGGTCATTTTAACCTCTGGTGTGTTCACCAAAGAGCCAGGTCCCCAGTGGGACCAGGCGTAGAGGCAGCATCCCGCTGTGAAGTGGTCTGCCTGAGGCTTGTTGAGCCATAATAGGCGGGATTGGGGCCTCCCAGACTCCTTTCTGCTTACAGAGCTCAACTCAGCTTTACCCCCATTTAACCCTCCAGCCTCTGGTGCCGGCACCTGTCAGGTCCTGCAGCCCAGGTCCCAGCATCGGAACAGTGAGTCTCATGGGTGACCCAGGGTGTGACGGCGGGAAAGGGTGACAGGATGCAATTCCACCATAAAAGGACATGATGGTGTGACTGAGCTGGGAGCTTTGGGGAAAACCCAAGCCACCTATGTGTCAAAAGGCAACAAAAAGATGAGGCAAACGTTTGCGTGAGTATTTTTTACTATCATTCTCAGGACCTCGCACTCCTGTGGCCTCTGAGATAGTGGCGTCCTGTCACTGTTCAGCCACTCCACTAGCCCTGGGACTGGGGGACTTTAAAGAGTCACCTAGCCCGGAATCTGAAGTCCAGGTCTAGGGTTATATGAGTGGTCCCTGATTTTGGAAATGGATCTGAATGGCCCCTCCATGCAAAGATTCTAGAATGTGCCAGGGCGTGGAGTGAAGACTGGGCTGCTTCAGGAACCGGCAGATGTATATTTTTATAAAATAGGAACTGGAAACAGCGGGACAGGAGTTGGGTCTAGAAGAGCATTATGACAACTTGGGTGTCTCTTCTGCAGGTGAGGGGATCATGGGGGTATTGGAGCAGTGGAGGCAGGTGACCTGACCCAGGTCTCATTAGACGCCCTGTGGCTGCAGCATGATGCACAATGTGGGTGAGAGGGAGGTGGTGGAAAGACTAGGACAGAAGCTGGTGTGAGTCTTGTTGAGTGTGATGGTATCTGGCCCATGATGGTGGCCCTGGAGATGGAATAAGCAGTTGGATGTGGGATCTGTGTTTTAGGTGTGGCCACCTGGATTTTCTAATTTTGAGGATGAGAGGGAGAGGTAAGAGTCAGAGATGACATGCAGGTTTGGATTTAGCAGCTGAAGGAATGCTTCCATTCCTATGTGTCATGACCAGGAATAGAACAGTGACCTCCTGGTTTATAGGTTGATGCTTAACCCTCGCCCACACCATCTGGGCTATATTCTTTCTAAAATATTTTTAAATGTATTTTTTATTGTTGAAGGTGTCACAGATGTCTCCTATTTCCCCTCTGTATATGTTCTTTGGGGGATCTCTCCCAGTCCCTCCATCCCCTCCCCTGGGACATCTGTCAGTCTGTCCCACTTATAACCAGGCCCCTGGGCCCATCTTGTCCTTCCCCAGGGACACGTGGTACCACACCACCTTTATTCACCAAGGTCATTGGCTGGCCTCCAGCCCTCCCCTGGACGTTTGAGCAAACTACATTACCCAGAAAGCATTGCGCACAAGTCCGCAGAGACAAAGACTTCTGCTGCCTGCTAATCCTGTTAAGGCGGGACTTCCTGCTTCCTCCTCGTGGCGGTCATTTTGACCTTTTTGGTGCGTTCACTGAGTCTCAGGACTCAGGTGGGGGGATCAGAGGCTTGTTGAGCCCTGTGGGGTGGGCCTCCGAGCCTCCCCGACTCCCCTCCGCCGACTGAATTCACTCCGGTCACCTGATTGGGCCCTCCAGCCTCAGGTGGGGGCGCCTCACAGGTCCCGCCGCCCAGGGCGCAGCGTCCAGCGCAGTGAGTCCTCTTGGGGGACCCGGGGTGTGAGGGGCGGAGGGAGGGCGACGGGCTGCGGGGCCGCCTGGGAGGCCGTGGAGCCACCTGGGAGGCCTTGGGGGGTACTGCGCCAGGAGGTGGGGGCACCCAGACCTGGTTTGTGTCTAAAGGCGATGGAGAGGACGAGAGGCGATTCCTGGGAGGAGTTTTACTTTCATGCTCAGGATGATGGTGCTGTGGGTGGTTGTGGAAAAAGAGGGACATTGGGTGAGGCAGGGTTCTCAAATTTACCAAACACTGCTGAGAGGAAGCGGAGAGAAGTGAGGGACGGGAAGGAGGACCCTGTGAAAGGTAAGGTAACTGGCAGGGTGTGCACTGGACTGAGCCCTGAGGCAGTGCAGGGGCCTGGAGTTCACCTGGCCCTGGGGCTGGGTGAAGGTACAGAGCAGCCGGAGCCCCTGGGTCCTGGGGTGGGTGCCAGGCCCTCAACAGCCCTTTAGTTCCCACAGGTTCCTGTGGGTGCAGAGTCGCTGAGGGGGGTGGGTTGTAGAGCTGATTTCAGGGCCTCGCTGTTATTTTCTTTGAGGTCGTGGGGTCCTGGGGCTGTCGGCCCCTCTTCCAGCCCTTGGACCTAGGGGCATTGAACTGACGCTCAGCCCAGCATCCTAAGGCCACGACTAGGGCTTCATGAAGTGGACCTGTTGTTGGCAACCAGTGGAATGAGTTGAGGGAGGTCCTCCCAGGTCTGGGACCAGGATGCGCAAAGGCTCAGAGTGAAGACTGATCTGTTTCAGGAACCAGAAGGTATACTTTTAATATATATCATTGACTTTAGACGTAAAAAGGAAGGAATTGAGAGAGAGAGAGAGAATTTGATCAGCAAGAAACAAGGATCAGTTGCCCCCTGCTCAACCCCTACTGGGGATCTAGCCCACCACCCAGGCATGTGACCTGACCAGTTATGGAACCTGTGACCTCTCAGCACATGGGTCACATGAACCAGGAATGTAGCTCACTTTATTTTTTTTTAAATATATTTTTATTGGTTTTTTACAGAGAGGAAAGGAGAGGGATAGAGAGTTAGAAACATCAATGAGAGAGAAATATTGATCAGCTGCCTCCTGCACACCCCCTCCGGGGGATGAGCTCGCAACCAAGGTACATGCCCTTGATTGGAATCGAACCTGGGACCCTTCAGTCTGCAGGCCAACACTCCATCCACTGAGCCAACCAGGTTAGGGCTGTAGCTCACTTTAATATAGGGAATCATGGGCTGGATAATAATGGTCTTAGTCGTTCAGAATGGACAATGTGAGTCTGAGGACTGGGGCCTCCATTTGTGGGGAGTTGGGTGTCACAACACAGCACAGGGACAGATGGTCATGTAGAGAGATGGGGATGGATAATGGTTTCCCAGTGGCCAAGGCCTTTAAAAGATGAGTGGACATGAGATGAATTGGAGGCTGGACAGTAATTCAAACAGGATGTGGCTAGGGCTAGTACATAGTTACTTCTCTAAACTTACCAGGATTTTGCTGTGACCCTTGGTTTGGCCTGGGGGTTGCAAACAGGATTAACTTAGAAGCATGAGTGGTCATCTGTGAGACTCACTGAGCATGTGGTAGAGGGCCATGGGTGATGGGACTTGAGTGAGGAAGACTGTGACTGGTGAGTGCAGCTCCTGTAAAGGTGGGCTCTGGATTTCTGGGATCTGATGATGTTCTCAATAGTTGAAGTGGAAGGAAAGTACACTCACGGAGAGAGGCCTTCAGGCAGGATTCAAGGCTGCCTCTCTGAGTGTGGGCTATCAGAGTGGGGGTAGTACTTCATCCAGCTTGAATTGGCCAGGCATTCTGTGGACCACACATGCTGAGTCATAAGTAAAAGGCCAAGGAGATGGGGGCTGTGGCTGAGGGTGGGGGAGTGCAGGAGTGAGAGAGGTATGGTAGGAAGAGTGGTGTGCCCTTTGAGAGGGCCTGTGGATTCATGGCTGCAGGGCCCTGACATGGACATAAGAGGGAAGGAAGGTTGAGTTCAGTTCTAGTGGTGTCTGGATAATATATGGTCAATTTCAGATTAATTCCTGAAAAGAGGTGTGTTGTGGTGCTACATTTTTGGTCCAAAGCTTAAGTGTCATATATGTGCTCAGCTGCCTGCTGTTGTTGAGGGCTGGTACAGTGATCAGTAGGAATGAGGTAGCGTACATCACTCACCTGGGGTTGAAAATCTCCCCTAGGTGGACAAGATAGAGGGTGAGAAATACGTTACAGAGGAGGTGAACTATGATTTTGGAAAAGATGTTGGTAAGGAAACCACCGTCCTCATGAGGTGATGAGGATATGTGTGACGGCATATTTGTGATATGTGTGACGTAGTACCTCTGAGGAGAAGCTGTGTGAGAGAAGTGTGGTTCAAGAATCATGTGCAGCAGGTAGTGCAAAGTGATGGCCTCCGCACCCTGGTTTTGGGGTGAAAGGGTGAAGTGTGAACCTACGGTTTTTGGTGTCGTGCAGGGACAGTCTCGGGGACTGCAAGGGTATTGCCTAACGACCAGCGTCAAATCACTCACCCTCTCTTTATGGCCAACATTTATCCCTCCCCTTGTTGGTCACACCCGAGGTAATGGACAAGAGACATTGTGGCCTTTGGCCTAATGTGAGGCCCAGGTTGAGGTATAATCTCCCTTGTCATTGGTCTTTATTGTTGGGGGAAGACACAGTCTCAGTAGGAATATAAGGAGAGGGTTTCCTTAGTGAGATCAAGGCCTGGTATTATCCTGATATAGGTAGTAGAGGGAGAGGATGGATGTGGAGGGTGGGGAGTATGACGAATATAAAATCCTAAGAGAGAAGCTGACCATGGACTGAACTGTCCCCCTTATGACAGGATATGAACTTTGAGGACGTGGCCATTGCCTTCTCTCAGGAGGAGTGGGGTCTCCTTGATGAGGCTCAGAGACATCTGTACTGTGATGTGATGCTGGAAGTGTTTGCACTGGTTTCATTCGTAGGTAAGACCTTCACATCTCTCTTAGTGTCCTGAAGTGATGGCCACTCTTTATTTATTCTCCAGACTTAGCACTCTCTCTCTCTCTCAAAGCCAGACCATGGGCTCTGCTATCGCCCCCACATTCTCGTACAATGTGTTGTGGCTGCCAGTTGTGACCTGTGTGGAGAGCCCTGAGCAATGGACTCACCAAACATCCCTAAGACCCGTTGCCTCAAAAAGTGCAGTTAATGTCTGAGAATCAGGAAAATGCAGGCAGCTGAATGGGTCCCACTTTGCTCTTCAACTCTGTGAGGGTGACTGTCCACATCCATGGCCACTGCCCCGTTTCCTAGCTAAAGGTTCTTTAAGACAGCTTGTGCCCGCTTATGATCATATCACGAACCACAGTCTGTTCTTGTAGGACCCTACTTCAATTGTTGTTTGTAGTATGTCCTCCCCAAATATTAATTGCACACTGAGTTGCTCTGGCCCATGCTTTCTGCTCACCTCCGTTGTCTTTCATCAGTAGTCGGAATATGTAGGTCGTACGTATTTGTACAGTAGGAGGTGCATGGAGAGCCTGGTTTGTTCACAGAGTGAATATGTAAGGTGGTCTCAGGGGAAGCCTCGCCCTGCTAAGTGGCAGCTGGGAGCTAGGTGTGACATGAGGCTTTTTTCAGGTCAGACCAGGAACCTGCTCCTGTCCAGCCAGTTAGGTGCAGGTGCCACGGGCCACACCTCATTTCTATCTTTTCTTTCCTAAGCTTCCCACTTTGCTGACTTGTCATTCTTCTGTGACTTCCTGCCTTTTGGCTTCTGTCACCCTTGTGGCATTTTTATGTCACCTGATCCTCAGAGCTGCTCCCTCTGCAGTTTTCTCCAACATGCGCCTCCATGACCAGCTCCTCGTTCATTGAATTTTAGTTGGAAAAGATGTAACCAATGTACTGCACAGCTTGCCCGTGTTACCAGCAAACGAGCCCTGCTGAAGGCTGTTAGCAGAAGAATGCGCTGGAGATCCTGCTTCTCTTCCAGGTGGTACCTGTCATAATTGAGTCATATTTCTGTTCAGGTCTTCAGTGTTTTGTGATCTTCAGTGGCCCACAACTTCTCAGCAGCCTCTCACTAATCCTTGTCACAGAGCTTTTATTTTCAGGCAATTGCATAGGACCAACATATTATGTGTAACACACTTTTGTAATGGGAGATTCCCTGTCACCACAGTCAACATTAACTTCCTCAGCATTTCTCTCTTTTCAGATTGTTGGCATAAAATGGATGATGAGGAGGCCTGTTCTGAGCACAGTGAATCTGTACAAGGAGAGTCACAGGTCAGGGCTTCTGAGACAGAGCCAGGAACCCAGAGGACCCATGTGTGTAAGCGCTGTGTGTCTGTGTTAAAAGACATTCTGCACCTGACTGCGTCGCAAGCAGCAGACTTTGAGCAGAAAGCCTTCTTCAGGGACGCATGTGTGAGAGACTTCTGTTTCAGTGCAAACCCTCACCAGCAGCCGGGGGAAGCCAGTGGAGAGAAGCCCTGGAAAGAAGCTATGGACAGGGCCTCGTTTGTGACCAGATGCAGCTTCTACTTATCTTGGGTGCTTTCAACCAGTAGGGAAGTTGGGGAAGACTTGCCCACGATCTCAGACCTTCTCCAGCACCAGGCCCCTCTCAACACTGGAGAGCCACACAGTGACAGTGAGATTTCACAGGAATTTCTCAGTGGAAATAGTCATTCTGATTGGGGTGAATGTGACAGAACTGCCAGCCACAACCAGAAAGTTGTTCAGCATGAGGGTAACTGCTCTGAAGAAGTAAATTATGTGTGTAGCGAATGTGGGAATGTTTTTAGAGGAATTTTTAACCTTACGCAACATAAGAGAGAGCACACTGGAGAAAAGCCCTATGAGTGTAGTGAAAGTGGGAAGTCATTCAGGCAAACCTCTGCTGTCATTGAACATCAGAGGGTTCACACTGGAGAAAAAACCTATGAATGTACTGTTTGTGGGAGGGCCTTCCGAAAAAGATCTCACCTCATTAAACACCTCAGAATTCACACTGGAGAAAAGCCCTATGAGTGTAGTGATTGCGGGAAATGCTTCAGGGAAAGTAGTACTCTTGTTCAACACCAGAGAGTTCACACTGGAGAAAAGCCGTATGAATGTACTCTTTGTGGAAAGTCCTTCATACAAAGGTCTATCCTCACTAAACACTACAGAATTCACACTGGAGAAAAGCCATATGAGTGCAGTGATTGTGGGAAGTCATTCAAGCAAATCTCGGCTCTCAGTGTGCATCAGAGAGTTCACACTGGTGAAAAGCCATATGAGTGTAGTGATTGTGGAAAGTTCTTCAATGTGAGCTCTGCTCTCAATACACACCACAGAGTTCACACCGGAGAAAAGCCATATGAGTGTAGTGATTGTGGCAAGTCATTCAGGCAAATCTCCCATCTCAGAGAGAAG